GTCCAGCATCCCTGCATCATTTAAAAGCTGCCCAGAACCATTATGATTACTATGACTTGTATTCATTTCCCAGGCTTGGCAAGTTTTCCATTTTAAAGTGAACCAATAGTTCCCTCTACTGGAAAGCTGTAGGAGGAACAGCCAGTGGTAAAGTTAGAAGATTTCCAATTATGTAATTCAGATATCCACAATGGCAAAGGATTTGTGACATCTTTTGGTTGCTGGCTCTCTTTCGTCACTGATTCTAATCTCTGAAACTCTAAATGCTGTAACATTCTATAAAACTTCAGGAAAAAAATTAAATTTTATTTTAATTCATTTCTTTGCTAGCTAACAGTAAAAAGTAAAACAGTAAAAAGTGCGTTCACCATATGCTGAATCACCCGTAACCCTAAAGTCAGCTCTGCTTAACAGCATTTATATGATGGTTCCAAAATGCCCTCTGTAGTTTCAGATGGTTGTTATAGGGGCATTCTACTTAAATGAAGATATTTTTTTAATTTGGGGAAGTTTTTTGTAATGGATTTATTCTATTATTGGTTGAGTTGCCACCAACATTTTCTTTCTTTGATGCGTTTTTACCAAATTTTAAAAAACTATCCTTTTTTGTTTGCAGTGGGATCTTCTTTCCCTTCCCCTCTTTTTGTGGTGCGGTGATTAAACTTGTACTGCAACTAAAACTGTGCTCACAACCTGGGGTTCAATCCTAGGTAGCCGGCTCAAGGTTGTCTCAGACTTCTATCTTTCCAAGGTCGGTAAAATGAGTATCCAGCTTGCTGGGGAGGCAATATGTAGCTTGCATAATTAAATTGTAAACCACCCAGAGAGTGTTTTAAATGCTAAGGGGTGGTATATAAGCAGCACACTTTGCTTTTTTGCTTTTTGGTCTGTTTTTCTGTTATCAGGTTTTGACATTCTGTATATTGTAGATATAGAAAGATCAAAAAAGGAACATATTTTCTATTAGGGATAATATAACGAGATGATCAAAACAATGTACTGAAGAAGTATACACAATTCTACTGAAGAAGAATCCTATGGTGAAAAATCTGTGATTTTAGAAAAAAAATTAAAGTGAAAGCTGGTCTCAAAACACTTGGAAGAAATAAATCACCAAGAATAAAGAGTATAATAATAAAGCTACTTCAAGCTACAGAAACTGGATCTGTCAAAAATTTCAAAAGATTTTGGCAACAAATATAGAAAACAATGAAATGGTCACAAACTGGAAATGTTCAATATGTATTCCAATTCCAAGAAAAGAAATGCTAAAGAGTGCAGTAAGTATAGGATCATTGCAACAATTTCCTTGTCAGCAAAATGGTGTGAAAAGTTTTGCAACAGAAACTTTTACCATATATGGAACAAGAAATGCCTTATGTTCAAGCTGGATTAAAAAAAAGAGGCACCAGAGATCATATTGCAGATATATGTTACCTCTGGCAGCATACTAATACATTTCAGAAGAAATTCAATTTGTGCTTTATAGATTAGAACAAATATTCTGACTGTGGATCATGCACATCTGTAAAGGAAATAGGCATGACTCAATATCTGATTGTCCTGATGTGTAGTTTATTCTCTGAACAAGAAGCTGTTAAAATAGATTATAGGGGAACATAATGGTTTCCTATAGGCAAAAGCATCAGATAAGGGTGAATTTGTCTCCCTATGTTCATTCTAAATGCAGAATATATCACATGGAAAAGTTTATTAGATACAGATAAAGAAGTGAAAATTACTGGAAGAAATATCAATAATTTAAGATACGCAGATGACATCATATTCCTGGCAGAAAGCAGCACTGATGTGAAGAAGCTCCAGTTGAAGGTGAAAGAAGAAAGTGCAAAAGGAGGATTACAGCTAAATATTTTTAAAAAACCAACAATAAATATTATGGCTACAGAAGAACAGAAGAACTATGTGACTTTAATGTTGACCTCAAATCCTGACAAAACCCAGCCAACTGGATATTATGGCAACTCTACCCTGCCATCTTCTGTTACTGTTGTGAAAATGTAGACTATATAATCAGCATCATATTGCATTGTACTGTATTGAATGTTCAGCTCTACTTACGCTGTCACTGAGGAGTAAGCATTTAATGAGATTTTGTGTACAGAGAGCTGTAGAAACAATGGGTGTGTGGGTGTGGGTGTGTGTGTGTGTGAGAGAGAGAGAGTGACAGAAGAACAGGAAGACTGATGAAAGTGTACTGAGAGCAGTAAAACTAGCTAAATGTCTTATGCCGAACAACATAAAAGAGGAATTAAAAAAAAAATTGTATATGCCTGTGATAATCTCTCTTCTGCTACAGAAAAACATTTCCATAGTGCAGTTGAGCAATGGTACCCTACTGGCAGGAAAAAAATGGAGCAATTCATAACAGATTTAAACAAGCAGAATGCCAGCGTCTGATTACATATTAAGGTGCGCAGTGAGAGTGAAGCTCCTTAACTGAAAGAAATCTTGGGCAGAGTACAGGTTGCTGTCCTCTGAAGATGCCGGCCACAGAGACTGGCGAAATGTAAGGAAGAACAACCTTCAGAACACGGCCAAAGAGCCCAAAAAACCCAGAACAACCAAATCTTGGGCAGCTGAAATAATAGACTGGGGAAGATGCAGATTCTCTTCTTCATCATAACCATTAGGGCTGACGATCTGACACTCTTCAGCATCAGCAGATACAATTCCAAACATTTCATGGCTCAACCATCCATAGCACATGTTAACACATTTGGTTTTCACGGTCTCTCTCATAGATGTCTCTTCCTGCTTCAAGAAGTTATGGTGTTTCCCTTTGAGAGCAAAGAACACTAGAAGAGCAATGCTGGGAGAGATCTATCTAGTCCAGCATCCTCTTCCCCGTGATAGCCAAGCAGATGCCTCAAGAAAGCTCATAAGCAGGACAGGAAGCCAATAACTTCCTGGTACTGATGTTTTTCTTCAAAAACTGGTGTTGCTGCCTCTGATTCTGGATATCTTCCATGAATGTTTCTCTTGTACATCCCTGCTATGGGTTTGTCTACATGGGTCCTTTTGGTGAGGGCTGGTATAATCTAAATAGGGTCAGTTGAGGTGAGGAGGGAGCAATATGCCATTTGGCATATTTCTCATGTCCAAATGGCATATCAGCTTCAAGTGAACCTCCAGATCCTTCTGCTGTCAAGTGTCTGTTGAACACTTTCCCTTTCAGTTGAACACTGTCAACTGAAGGGGGGAGGGAAATGAGGGCAGGAGATATTTAAGAACAACAACAACAACAAAGATCAGCATCACAAAGCTGCAAAGGAGCCCCTCCTCCACTGTGCAAGGAAGCACACCCAGGTAGAAAGAATGGGGTGGATTTCTCCCTGCTCCTGACTGCCATGCATGCCTCTGTGTGTCTCTGTATGTGGCAAGGAAGAGGGCAAATGGCTCTGGCAACTGTTGAAGGAAGGAGCTGAATAGAGGAAATGCATTGCTAAAGATCTCACTAAACCATCCAACTGGAAGTGAAATTATTATTATTGGCCATGCTAGACCATCACTGATGCATACTCAATCACTTAGACTAAATTATTATTTTTTCCTTGCCTTGTGTGTAGTGCCAGCTGAGAAACTGCTCACAGCTACAGTTTTAATCAACACCTCACATAAAGGCAAAGAAGAAAACATTTCTGAAAATTTTAATCTAAGCGATTCAGTGCAACAGGAATGGCCCAGTAGAGTAAAAATAAAATTCACTTCCTCTGCCACTCCACAGAGGAGCAGGGGAAATGTTCAGTTCTTCTGCATGCACATATTTATGTGTTTGAAGAACTATACTAACAAAAAGAGGTGGTGTCTGAATCATTTACTTGGATCCATTGCTTTTTGAGGCTCCAGCTTCCTGTTGTATCATTCTTTTTCATTTGTCCCAAGCGTGTCATAAAATATATTCAGTAGAGAAGATCATTGCTATTCTGATGTTCTTTGCTTACTTTGCTCTCAAGAGAAGGCACAGTTAGCTTTTTAAGCAGAAAGAGTTGAGAAAAGTTACTTTTTTGGATTAGTTTCCACAGTCTCACAGCCCGTATGGCCATTGGGAACATGCAGACTGAATTGCCTGAAAGCATTTTTTTTCCTAATGGTTGAATCTACAGCAGCCATTATCAACCTTGGGGTTTGTTTGTTTGTTTTTGGCCACAGCCATAAATATAATATGAAACAAATGCAAGTTGAATCAGGATTGTATAAGTCACATAACAAACCTTATAAAGTGGTTTGTGAAGAATTGTTTCTAGCCTGTAGTCTCCTTCAAATATGCCAGGGCCCCCCAGGGGGACTTATGGCCCTCATTGAAAATGGCTGTTCTACAACATGCAGCATCTCAACTAATTATTCGTATGTCACATGGAAATGAAGGCAGTTCCTCACTGGCATAGGAAAATGTTTTCCCTTGAAATTTTGGAGTAAGGTACAAATCTGGTCCTGGATCGTAAGCTGCCCTGGATGGACAGCTCTTGCTGTGGTGTATTTATCTGATCCAACCCTGATTACCAACAGTCCTCCTGCCCCAGAAATGGAAGCTTTAACAGAGACACCTGTTTCCACTCCGCTTAGGAATTTTTTGATTCCCTTTTTTGTGGAGGAAATTTGCAGGCACTGAAGGGGCTGAGATGGCTCCTGCTGTACTGATGACTATGTGAGAGGCATTTCCTGTTATCTCCCTCCTCACCCAACCTCTGAAGTAATACAAATGCACTCATCTTCTTCCTTCTGCAGTGTGGAGGGAGGTTGTGCAAAAGCCACATCCTCTAAGAAAAATCAAGTGGTCAGCATCACAATTTCGTGCTACCAAGAGGATACCTCAAAGGAGGCAGGTAAGTGGGCAATCCTGGTTAGGGTGGTCCAAGATGGAGGATGAAGTTGCATTTCCTGTTCCACAGACAGGTGGACTGGCAGTAGAACCTGGCTTCAGCACTGAAGATGAGACACTTCCACTGCCTTGGAACAGCTGTTTAGAACAAGATTCTATTTCCTGCTCTTGAGAAAGGAATGTGAGGTGTAACACCTGCTTCTGTACAGCTCAGTGTTCATGGCACCTTTCCTTTCACATAAGAAAGGGAAGAGATCTCTGCAACCAAAGAGTTTTAAAATCCAAAATTAGGCTGGGGGAAAAAAAAACAGAAGACGAGGAACAGAAGCAAGAGCTACAACTGCCTTATACCTGAGGGTGCCAGCAACAGGTACAAGGATCCTTTGCTTGGGATGAACATAGAGCTTTTCCTGGAGCACAGCAACCAGTGATAAAGCAAATAATTGTTTCCATGAGTATTTTAAAGCAGTTGTGTCTCAGCTCGAGCTTCCTAATGGGTTTTGTGTCAGCAATTGTGAATAGTGAGGTTTACATGGTGTAGACAGGCACCAGGTAAATCTCACATTTTTCTTAGGTCTTTGCAGAGTATGCTACTTAGAGGAATCTTAGGACATGATTCTGTTAATGAAATCAATCAGGCAATGGATCAGGGCTTTCAAATTCGGTTTAATATGATAGTCCATTTTTGTGTTGATGCATGCCTCATCTTGGGAAAAGTTAATCTGTTTTTAAACTGTGCTGTATATTTGTCAAAGGGGCTACACAGGCTTTAAGAATCATTGCATTTGAGGCTTTGTACTGAGCCCACTCAACCTTGTGCTGCTTGTCTCTCATAGCCACTAGCTGCTGCTACTGTTGTCATGTTATTTTTTTAGTAACTTTCACTTTTTTATTTCCTGCAATCTGGTATAGCACTAGAACAGAATGACAGATAAAATTAAAAAAATAAAACAGAGCTTCCCTGCAGCCTGACATGTACATAGGGAGACAGACAGAAAGATAGGCAAACAGACAGAGAGACAGACAGAAACACACACATACACACACTGAGGAAATAGAGAAGGAGAGGAAGACACACAGCCTGGCCTAAAACTGAAATATTTATTTGGTAAAAAGTTCAAAGGAGAGGGATCATGGAACGCACACCAGTGAGCGGCAAACCCCAAAGGAACACTAGGAGTTTACTCTTAAATTGCTTTTATTGTTGTTATATTTGTTGATTCTGCTGCGCTACCCCTCCTCTTCCTGTAATGATGTTCAGCAAATTGCTACAATTTTGTCCCCCTCCCCCTGAAAGGATTTGTCTGCTTTTTAAGGCTAGAAATAATCTGGTTTTTAAAAGCAACACTGGTAGCTGCAGCAATACCTCTGGCTAGGGAGGGGATGTTGGGGGGGTGTTTAGCAGTAGAGGGAGGGCCACTGAGAGCAACATTTCCATGAGCTAGATTTTGACCAGTTCTACACATGGGCCCTTGGCCATTTTAGCATGATCACTGACACTGCTGGGTGGGGTGTACATGTGCTTTGAATCAGTTCTTCTAATTACTACAGTATATATAGAATTTGGTTTTCTCTGAAATAATTGATCATGCTCAGTCCTTATGATCTTATCATGAGTATATGTGTTTATAAAATTGCTGCCTACATAATGTTTAGTACAGTTATCTAATTAAAACAGCCCTCCAGGACATCAGAAGAAGAGAAAGGGAGGAGCCCACACAGCATAGCGCAGGATAATGGCCAGAAACTTACTGGTGTCCAGATAAAATTTGTGTTGCATGTTACAGCTAACTGCAGCTAATTAACAATGTGCTGAAGTGCCTCCTGGTCATATTGCTGGTCATACACCTGGTTGTGCAACTGAGAGGTGCCCTAGCATCTTATCAATTATCCACAATAAGCTATGGCAAGTTACACAAGTCTTATGAGAATGTCAGTAAGATCCCAGCTAGCATATTGTAAGTATTTATCTACTACCCAGCAACTGATACTTTCTAAACAGTTAGGGAAATTAATAAAAAGAAAGAATGAATGAGATCAGAAAATCAAGAATGGAGCATATATGATTTTTAAAAACAATTAAATTAAAGCACTTTAATAAGTGCTCAAGCACATTAATAAGTGTAATACATTTACTGAACAAGAGGGAGGGGAATTAATTTAAAAATGAGTTTTAGAAAGCCAGTTGCAGTTGGTCATTAGCAGTATTAATAATAATCACATAAACCTTCCATGGTTTTCTACTCAGAAGTGGTTTACCAGTCCCTGCTTTTTGTGGCACAGCAGACCATGTAGCTTGCACAAGCCCACACAGACTGAGAGGGTGTCCACACTGGAATGCAGATATTCTGGAGACATAGTTTGGATTTTTTAAAAAGACCTCATCCACAAGTGTTTCTTATAATGATCCATCCTTCCCCTTTAAGAGCTCTCACCTTTCTGGCCCAGTGGTAGGGAAAGCCTCCTTTTTGGCTTGTTGTTTAGCCTGTTCAGCCAGGAGACTGCAGCCTCCAGCAGCCTCCGCTTCCCAGGGCCATCATGGCTGCAGATTTCAAAGGAGAGTCTGAGAGAGAAAATGGGGGGAAATAAGGGAAGGGAAGCGAATGGCACCAATAGAAGGAAAGAGAAGCAGTGTAAAAATAATAATAATTTCACTTTCCCTGATCTTCTGCAGATGATCGAGAGAAGTGCTCAACTGATAGGTGATTGAGCTACAACGGGTCATTTGCTGTTTGGCTGGGAGGAATACACCAAAGGGCTCCTCACTCCTCCCCTTAACCTCAACAGACCCTTTGTAGCCCAATCCAACCCACACCCCAAACGGCCAGTCTAGGCAGGCTTCTGTTCTACTGGGAGGCACACTGAGGAATCAAATTCCCAACACCTGTCTCACGTTATCCAGCCCACTGAGTTTTTTTCAATTCCACATCAGTGTTTTCTTTTTCTACATTGAGAGAGGAAGGTGGGAATTCATCCTGCTTCTCTTGACCCAATACCACCTGAGAGGGGCAAAATGTGATTTCCTTCTCTCCACCCAAGCTCTGGGTTGCCCGACAATAACCCACTGAAACAAGGTGGGTAGAGCAGAGTGTAAGACAATTTCATTAAATACAAGAGAGTAATAGATGGATTTATTGGATTGAGAAAACAAATTGCCAACTAAGGGTACTGGTCAAATTTCTGGAAATGTTTGATTAAAGAGCAGGTCCAAGCATGATACAGCAAAAGATGAAATGTCTGTCTGACTGTCTGTCTGTCTGTCTCAAAGATTACTCTGGGTGGCTAACAATAATAGATAAAAACAAAAACAATATAATAAAACAAAAACAACAATAATATAGTTCAAGATGGGAAAAATAACCAGGTGATGACAGGAGGAAAAGCCTGCCTAAAGAGCAAGGTCTTAAGCTTGCTTTTAAAAACACCCAACGAGGGAGCCAGACAGATCTCTGGGGACAGATTGTTCCAGAGGCAAGGGGCCACTGCCAAGAAGGCCCGCTTTCTTGTTCTTCCTCTCTTGGCCTCCCTCGGTGTTAGGCCCCTCAGCCACCTTTCTTGGCTAGAACAAGTGATATGGGTAGATCTAGGTGGTAGGAGGCATTCCGCCAGATATTGAGATCCTAAACCATTTAGGGTTTTATATGTCATCAGTAACACTTTGAAATCAATGTGGAAATGAATGGGCAGCCAATGCAAGGCAGCCAGAGTGGGTGAAATATGCTGATATTTTCTCACCCCTGTGAGAAGTCTGGCTGCCGCATTCTGCACCGCTTCTGATTTGGGGCAAACTTTACAGGGTTTCCAAAGTTCAAGGAGTGGTTTAGCTTTCCAGTGAGTCCTGACAGCTAAGAAGGGATTTGAACTGAGCTGTCCTGAGCTCAGCATTCCATCCAATGCACCACACTGCCTCTCAGACTTCTATTATGCATATTTAACATCACACTGAATGGTTTTCAATCCCAGTTTGGTACTTTGGGATCAGTCAGGCTCTCAGTTTTGAATATTTTCACAGCCAGCTGAAGACCTATCTATTTACCAAGGTATTTTCCTTAGCATTTTTCTAATTGTTATTGCTATCAGTTATCCTGTTTTTTAAATGGTTTGTTTTTATTGGCCTTGATTGCTTTTGTTGTTTAAGATTTCCTAAGCACGGATGTAGAAATCCTGTTAAATAAAATAAATACAGCAGGTATTAGGAATGGCTGACTTCTTTCGCCTCTGATTTGGGGGCTCTGTAAGTTTACCAAGCCAAAACCAAGAGCATTGTGGCATCTTTAAAATAAACAGACGTACAGTACTACTTTAGTGTGAACATTTTCAGATTGCAACTCACTTCCTTCAGTAGAATGGGGCAGGGGATCTAAGCAATGGCTTCTTCAGTTTGTAGGCTTCCACTGTTTTCTCACTGCTTCTTCTCTCATTTACATATGCACAAAAGTGCACTTCTGATTTACTGTATATGTCCCATCAAAATGCCGTTCGATAAGCTATTGCTGATGGGTGAGGCCAGTCCAAAGAAAAAGCTGGAACTTTTGAATGGATTCTTGAATCATTTTATAGAATGATTATAGACAGCATGGGGCAAATTTGGAAAGAATGGGACCTCTAAAAACACAGGAGTGCAGCTTGGGGGTGCTCTTGGATTCATCTCTAAGCCCAGGTTTTGGCACTGACCAGGAGGTAAAACAGCGCTAGCTGCATCTGGAGCCATGGGGAAAGAAGCAGGGGACCAGAGGGAGGCAGAGAAGCAAAAGAGGATCAGGAGAGGTTGGGGCAGAGAAAGAGATTGAGAGAGAAAGAGAGAGAGAAGCCATGGAAAGAAAGGAGTGGGGAGAAGTCACAGGGAGAAGAAAGGTAGAGACAGAGAAAGAGAACCAGGGAAGAACCAGTTGAAAAGCAGTCATGCTTTTGTATTTGGGTGAGGTATGTTTAAGAGATGAAAAAAGGAGGCAGGTTCTAAGATTTTGGGAGCTGTCCCACTTGAAACCTGGAAAACAGCCTTTAAAAGCTGGCAGGCAGAGAAGAAAATGGGGCACAGGAGTGTAAAAAACACACACAGAGAGAATGAAAGACAAAAGCCTATGTACATTCATTTCAGAGTAAATCTCAAATAACTTGGCATCATATCTGAGTAAAAGTTTCCAGGATTAGGTACCAGAGGGAGAAGACAGAATATGGGAGGAACGAGAGATACAAAATCACGCCAGAAATGACTGGAAAATTGTGTAGCAATAAGAAATGGTTGGGGAAATGCAGATTTAAGGCTGCTTTTCTTTCACAAGTCCCCATGTAATAAACACTTACATATTTAAAAAAAGAGAACTGGGAAATAGTAAATGAAACAGTAGAAACTGTTTCCTACTATCCTAACCCAGTAATGAGCAGAAGAAGAGGACTCACACTCCTTAGGGTATATGAGCATTGAGAAAATGGTATGGGGTAGTGTGGTGCAGTAAGGCTGAGAATCAGGTCTACTTCATGTGGCAACAGGCCTTGTGTCCTTGCTTGGGACTGATTTTTTAATGACTTGGTTACTTTTAGCTGTATTATCTAGTCATTGCTGAAAGTTCATATGTTCCCACATCAGTATTCAAGCTGTTGCAGTTTTCGCATCTAGTAAACATATCCAGTCATTCAAGGAACTCAAAGAAAGGTTTTGCTTAATAGATTCAAAAAGGTTGATCAGTTATGTAACTCCTTGATATTAATAAAATGACTCATTTGTTTTTATTTCAGGTTAAAAAGGAAGACCATCAAGATGGGAGTTCTGTCAGGAGATGACTTAGCTGATCTCTTTAATTACTCTAATTACATGTATGACTCTACTCCCGTAGACTTCAGCATTGACGTAGAACCCTGCAGACCTGAGAGTGCATCACCTGTGGTCAGATACATTGTCGCCTTCATCTATTGCCTGGTGTGCTTAATGAGTTTGGTGGGAAACTCGTTAGTAGTTCTGGTTGTCTCTTACAACAAACGTAACCGTTCGGTCACTGACGTATACCTTCTGAACCTGGCCATTGCTGATCTCCTCTTTGCCCTCGCCTTGCCCATCTGGGCCATTTACCGAGCCCATGAATGGATTTTTGGCTTGGTTAGGTGTAAACTCCCCTCAGTCCTGAAGGAAGTCAACTTTTACAGCGGCATCCTCCTCTTGGCCTTCATCAGCATTGACCGCTACCTGGCAATAGTTTACGCTACTCGAGCAGCCACTGAGAAGAGGCGCTGGGTCAAGTTTGCCTGCATTGGCATCTGGTTGTTCTCCTTCCTTTTCTCTCTTCCAGTGATCGCCTTCCGTGATGTTTTCCAGCCACCCAATTCCTCCCAAAGGGTTTGTTATGAAAATATTGGGTGGAATAAAACAGATAAATGGCGGGTGGTGTTGAGAATCCTACCACAAACGTTTGGCTTCATTGTTCCCTTGTTCATCATGCTCTTCTGCTATGGTGTGACAGTGCACAGGCTCTTCCAAACCAAGAACAGTCAAAAGAAGAAAGCCATGAAAGTCATCCTAGCTGTTGTGCTGATCTTCTTGTTCTGCTGGCTGCCCTACAACATCTCCCTCCTGGTTGATACCTTGCTGAGGACTCATGTTATTGTTGAGACCTGTAGCCGCCGTAATGCCATCGATGCAGCTCTTTCAAGCACTGAGATCCTGGGATTTTCTCACAGTTGCATGAACCCCATCATATACGCCTTTATAGGGCAAAAGTTCCGGAACAACTTCCTCAAGATCTTGTCCACGCATGGCATCATCAGCAAAGAAATCCTGATTCGGTATCGGAAGGGGTCCTCTTTCTCATCTTCTACCGGCAATACTTCAACTACTTTGTAACAGCTATGCCAGAGGAATAAGAGGGAAGAGAGGATCACAAGAGACACTGGTTCTCTTTGCGACTGACTTCAAGAGTGAGACTGAGATGAAGCCAGTGAAATGTTTCAGAACTGCAGATGTCAATCTTAGTCTTTATTTGTTAATTCTTGTAAATGCGTGTATATTTTATCAAAACAACAACAGAACTGATGTAGTTTTACAAGCCTAGAAAATGATCCAGAATTTTTAAAATGTATTGTATCTTACAACAGATTGGTGATTTTGATGTGTGTGTCATGAAGAAGATTGTAGGCATAGAAAACACAGAGAACCTTTAATTACAGAGATTAAAACCCTAGTACTGTATAGATGGCTGCATATTGAAGCCATGTATATATTTCACTGTATGTATAAATGCTCTAAAGCCACTTGCTACTTTCATGCATGTGAAGGGGGGGATAAAATGAAGCTGTGCACACCATGTATGGCATTCTATGTATAATTTTCAGGCTGTTTCCTTTACAGAGTAGATTTCTTAGTGGGAAGTTTGTATTATATGAAGCAGCTCTGAGTTTTTTTTAAGAGTTCCCTGCTAAATATACCTAGTCAGAAGCAAATCCCATTGAGTTCAACGCCCCTCTTCCTCTAATTAAATGGATATAGGGACTGTGGCTTGAATTTTGTAGGGAAATCCCTGTGATTTTTAATGATTGTCCTTGCACTGAAGTGCTTAAAATCCATGAACAAATTTCCTCTAGAGCAGTTTTAAATTAATATAAATAGTCTCAGGCTGGATAAAAGGGGGACAATCAGAGGAATAGATGGGTGTACAAATTGTCTTGGATTGTTCTCAGGTTATTGATGTAGTTAAGCTAGCTCTGTCCAGAAAGGACTCCCAAATTGCAGATTCTGAGGCTATGTATTAAAATTATTTTTCCACCTAACGTGTTGTCTCTTTTCAGTAAGAATAAATTTTGATTGTTCTCCAGCCTTAGAAGTCAGTCTGTCAAAACTTTGGCCAGAAAGATCTTAATTACAACAACATGCCATCAAGTTGATTCTGAATATAGTGACCAAAGTTCCCTATAATTTTCAGCTTCCCTAGGCAGGGCTCTGCTCCTCATGCACATGATTCCACACACACCGTGTGCGACTACATCCCCCACAGGGTGTTCTGTAGTGACTGGAACCAAAGGGACTAGAAATCATCGCTAGGGGTGTGTGTGTGGGGGGGGAGAGGAACCCTGCATGGAGGGGGTGGAGTCATGTGAACCCGCACACCTGAAGGGAACCTTGACAGTGACCGAGGAAACGGAAACCTGCATGGAGGAGGTGGTGTCATGTGAACCCGCACACCTGCACACCTGAAGGGAACCTTGACAGTGACCCTTCAGAGGGTTTTCTTCCTGTAGACTATTCAGAAGTAGTTTACCATTCCCTTCTTCTGGGGGTGTTCTGGGATTGTGAGGCTTGTTAAAGGCCACACAGGCTAGCTGTTCCCCTGAAAAGGCAAAGTGGAGAATCAAACTCCTCCTTCTCAAGGTGCTATCACTTTTATTTTCTCACCCTTCCAGGCTTGGATGATTTTGTCACCTTTAGGTTATAGGGCTTCTTTGCACAGCACCAGCCTTTTGCAAACAAAGTTGTGACACTGATTTTGACATTTTTGATACAATACCTCAGTGTTCACTTACACACCTATTCCAGAGCCCCATAAAGTAATGAACTACAATTCTAATAAGAAATCATTTGGGGGTTCACATCTATGCCCCCAGATACCTACATCAAAGCAGGAGCTGTGCACATTTGTTTTTGTCATTACAACGAGAGCTGGTGTGATATGAGATAATTTCTTCATGATGGCTGAGATCAGGAAAATCAGAACTTTTTATGTTTTCCAGTATGTGTTTTAATGAAGAATCAAGAATTTTATTTCACTGTAAGAATTGCAAGGACACCCCAATTGTCAAAATCCTGGATTTTAAGTAAGCTTTGGAAAAGTAGCACAAGAGCTATGATTTTACAACATAGGTTGTTATGAATTAAGGAGTTGCTACAAGTCCACAGGAACATGTTCCATTCTAAATCATTCAAAGAACAGAACTTGGACAAGTTACTTTTTGTATCACAAATCCTATGCTCCCCTCCCCCAGCATGCTTCCTGTCCAACCCTCACAAGGCAGCCTTTGTAGGTTTCTCCAAGGTACCTCCAACCCGATTTGTGTTTTTTGACAAGTCCAGCACCTTGGGCACAGCCAAACCCAAACCTATACACTTAGGAAAAAGGACAGCCTCCATGTCAAAGCTTCACTTGAACTTCTCGTCAACCCAATTAGCACTTTATGAAAGGTCAGCATGTGAGTGAGGAGCAAGAGGTTAAATCGGCTGCACTTTTCAATTCAATACATTTACGATACAAAGGAAGAAAGTTCCAGGAATAGTCTATTGCTTTTTAAATAAAGGAGACACATCAGCCTCTCTCAAAGTGAACCATTTGGGATTCAAAAAATAATTCAATTTCACTTTTAGGGGAAGGAGAACCCTAGGCTATCTTGCCATAGCTTTTCGATAGGCCTTGGCTCTTTGCTATCCAAGTGAAGGGAAACAAGACTTTCTGTTAAAATCAAAGGTATCCTTCTGGGAGGCTGGACAGGTTCAAAAAAGGAAAGCTCAACCACCGATAGCTTTGGATGGCTTAGTCCTTCACTTACAGTACCTGGAGGACATCTTTGAAATGTTTGAGTTTGGGTGCCGACTACACAGCAGGGATAATATGCCTGGATCTGCTGTGACCCACTTTTTTTTTCAAAACAAGTTTTCATGGATGAAATCACTGTATTTGTCTGGACATCATTTGTCTGGACACTTTGCAAGAATCGTCAGAGTTCCTAGCAAAGGCAGACAGTTCTATTTGCGTGGAGCTCCAATAGGCGAAACTGCCTTTCATAAAGTGCTAATTGTCCATTTCCCCCTTTTTAAAAAAATCTTTCCTGAAGATAAAGATGTTCTACTGTGTTTCCTCAAAAATAAGACAGGCCCTTATATTAATTTTTGCTCCAAAATATGCAACAGGGCTTATTTTCAGGAGATGCTTTGTTTTCCTTCATGTATAACAACCTACATTTATTGAAATGCAGTCACATCATCTTCTTCTAGTTGCTTCACAATGTGGCACAATGGTGGAGTGGGTTGCTTCACAATGTGGCACAATGGTGGAGGGAAGGGTTTCACTTAACTGGGGCTTATTTTGGGGGTAGGGCTTATATTACAAGCATCCTGAAAAATCAGACTAGGGCTTATTTTCAAGTTAGGGCTTGTTTTCAGGGAAACAGGGTAGCACTGCCTTAAAAGTCTTTAAAACGAACAAATGAATGAACAGACAAAAAAGAGAAGCAAACAGACACTTTATTAGTTGAGGGGAACCACCCTTGCAAGTTCCCTTTTGCCTTCCGATTAGGTGATCATACCTGTCAACAGACAGAAGCACTGTCGACCTGATGAGAGCATATTTAACCACCTCCGCTGGCTGAAAAAGCAAGCAAGCATGATACTCTACTAAAAAGGGATTATTCCATAAGGTGCTTTCCTGCATTGAGACCCATTGTGTAGTTGCCAGGGTTTAATTTGAATTCATGTTAACAATTACCTTGTACAGTAACACAAATCTGAGAAATGAGACTTCATTTGCAGACCTTCTGAAGCAAGCATGCCTGATGTGTGTCTTGGGAAAGAGGAGTGCTCACACTTCCTGTTACAGGAAAAGCAAAGGCAACCAAGCGGCTGTCTGTTACAGTACAAGGTGCTTCATGTGTGACATTTGACTAACACTTACATTTCCTGTCTGCTGGAAAAGGGGGAGGGGACCCAAATGCATATACTGTATTACCTCTTTCAATGTCTGTGCCTATTTAGAACCCATCACAGAAAAATAAATGCTTGATCTGTTTTTACACAGGGCAGCAAGTAATGAAGTTTTTTTTTTAAAAGCACTCTCATGCCATCTAGTGGGAAAAAAACTTTTTTTAAAAAAAAAAATTACATTTGGGTGTGGGATAGCCATGGTAAGTTGTTGCTGTCCTGTGTGAAAACACAGTTGATGTTCAGTTGAGGGGAACCACCCCTGCAAACGCCCCTTTGCCTTCAGAATAGGGAATCATACTGATGGTCAATAGATAGAAGCAGTATCGAACTGATCAGAGCATATTTAACCACCCCTGATGGCTGAACAAACAATCAAACAAATAAAAAAAAAGATGATACATTACTAAAAGGGAATTATTCCATAAGGGGCTGCCCTGCATTGAGCCCCATGGTGTAGTGGCTGGGTTTAAAATTGAATTCATATGGGTTATGAGTTACCTTGTGTAGTAACAGAAACCTGAGAAAGGAGTCTTCATCGGCAGACCTTCTGAGGCAAACATGCCTGGTGTATGTCTTGGGAAAGAGAGGTCCTCACATTTCCTGTTACAGGAAAAGCAAAAGCAACCAAGTTGTTGACACAGATTTCACCATATTGCTGTTACAGTTGTTGTTCTGAGGTCCTTCATGTGTGACACTTTACTAACACTTACATGTCCTGTTTGGAGGAAAAGAGAGAGAGAGAGAGAGAGAAACCCTCATGCATATATATTACTTCACGAAGGTTTTCACGGCCGGGATCTAATGGTTGTTGTGGGTTTTTCGGGCTCTTTGGCCGTGTTCTGAAGGTTGTTCTTCCTAACGTTTCACCAGTCTCCATCTTGTATTTGGTTTTCCTCCTGTCCTGCTGCCTTCAACGTTTCCCAGCATTATTGACTTTTCCAGTGAATCTTGTTTTCTCATGTTTCCCCCAAAGCATAGCACCCTCAGTTTCATCATTTTTGCCTCCGGAGACGGTTTAGGTTTAATTTAGTCTGGAACCAACTTGTTCATTTTTCTGGCAGTCCAGGGTATCTGCAAAGCAGTTCTCCAGCATCATATTTCAAATAAGCCTATTTTCTAAATATCAGCTTTCTTCATTGTCAACATTAAAGTTGTGTAGTTCTTCTGTGGTCAGGATTTTAGTCTTCTTAATGTTCAGCTACAGTGTTGTTTGGCACTTTCTTCCTTCACTTTTACTAAAAGTCTGTTCAAGCCATTGCTGCTTTCTGCCAGTAAGATGATATCATCTGCATATCTTCAATTGGTGATGTTTCTTCCACCAAAAATCACTCTTCTTCATTTGAATCTAGACTGGTTTTCTGTGCTATATGTTCTGCATACAGACTGTACAGATAAAATAATAAAATCCACCTTTGTCTGACACCTTGCCCGTAGAAAACTATTCTGTCTCACCCTATCCTGTCATAACAGTAGCCTCTTGTACACAGCAGGCCAGACCTGGGGGGGGGCAGGGAGGTGGATTTGCAGTATGCTATTGTGACTCCATCCCCCTCACTTGGGGAGTTTCCTGTTTCCTCTTGCCTCAGCAGGTGATCCTGTCAAAGCTCTGGCTGATCTCTGCAATGGGGAAATGGCCAGGACAGTGGACACAATCACTCCTAAGCATGATGCGCCATCTGTGCCCATTCCTTGAGATGTCTGATTTGGCTTCAGTGACACATGCTTTAGTTACATCCCGTTTGGATTACTCTAACGTGCTCTATGTGGGGCTGCCTTTGAAGATGGTTCAGAAACTTCAGTGGGTGCAAAAACTCTGCAGCCAGACTACTGACTGGGGCCAGGTACACGAAGCATATAGCACACCTGTTACAAGAACTGCACTATCTACCAGTCCATTTCCATGCCCAATTCAAAGTGCTGGTTATTACCTATAAAGCCCTATACAGCTTGGGTCCAGGTTACATGAAGGACTGTATCTCCCTATAATTTACTTCTCGGCAATTAAGATCTGCAGAGGAGACCCTCCCCTCGGTCCCATTGCCAGCACAAGCACAGCTGATGGGGACACGGGAGAG